AAGTTATACATATCATAAGATACCGGTGTACGGTATATGAAATCACCCCCATCATAAGCTAAATAGGTGTCCTCTTTCTTACAAAATGGAGTTAAGACTAAGAAAAGAACCTGATTTTATAGGGAAAATGTGGCATGAGGATGATATATTGCCGCAAATTCATGTTGAATTATCATGTCATTGTTGGATTTCAGTGTTAGTACCTCTGATGCATGTCTTTGTGCATCATCAATTTGCAGGATCATTGTAGCACTTTTTACAGTACTAGAAAAGTTTGCAGATGTACTTATTGGATGGTGAGTGCTTCACTTTTTAACCATTTTGTTTATTGTTGAATTTTGGTTTATATTTGTGCAATAAATTAACGCCGAATCTTTATGAAGGCTGCCACTGTATGGAGAGATGAAGCTTGCGCTCTTTATCTACTTGTGGTATCCCACAACTAAGGTAAGAGCATAACCATGCTTCTTTGGATCCTTTAACATACTCATTTTCTTAACACTTTTTTTGTTTGTTTTTTGACTTTTAAATTATTTTCATTTACTTAGGAAGATGTAAGTCATGTTTGATCTCCAATTAGATGATATAAATGTTGCTTAATGCAGGGGACGGGCCATGTTTATAATACTGTGTTGCGGCCATATGTATCAAAGAATGAAGGTGACATTGACAAGAAGTTCCAAGAGTGGAGAGCGAGAGCATGGGATTTGGCCATTTTTTATTGGCAAAACTGCACAGAGTTGGGGCAGTCAGCGTTTTTCCAAGTTTTCGACCACTTGGCTGCTCAGTCTAAAAGATTTTCCGGCAAAACCTCCACTAAGGTGAATTTCCCTTTTGAATAGTATCGTCCTAATTTCTGAACCATTTTGCAAATTGACTGTTCGAACTTTGTTAATAAACAAAGTTGCAATTGCAACTTAAAAGTCTAGCGATGTAGTTTTTAAAATGCGTGTGGCATGGAGCTCTACAATGACCGAGTACCAAGAAATAGTAGAATGTGACACAAAAAATTTAGCACCGGCATTAGAGAGTAATGCTCTAATGATTGTAGACATAATCATAAGACCATATAGATATGGTTCTACATTTCATAGTAAATCATACATTTGACCATAAATAAACTAGACAAGATCACTGCATAAATTATATAGCTTGTCATTTTTTTATGCATATATTCTTTGCTGACAGTACTGTTACTAAGGATAGTACTACATTGCAGAAAAAAGACAAGCATGATCCTCCAACCCCGAGTGCCCCACCATTGCCTTCAATACGATCGTCTTTCTTTGAGAACAACCAAAATAATATCACAAGCCGCAAGAAAAAGTAACACAGTATGAAGGGCAATACGATGACCAAGCAAGTTTGAAGCACACGCTGACACTGAGGTAGGACTAGAATTGGAACACTTTTTGTACATACTCATATTAAAAAGACAAAGGGAAAAAAAGAAAAAGAAAAGAAATCAGCATCCATTAACCATTGGCAATACTTAATTCTTGTAACATATGTGCTGAAGATTGCTTTGTTTTTTGTACCCCATCTTTTGAAACAATTTCAGCAGTGATTAATTGATTATTCTTTTATTTGATCGTACTTTGAGTTTGAGGCCATAACAATTAAGAGACAAAAGCAAAGCTAAAAAAAAGGGTAAGATATCCCATTCTTGAATCTTCAATTCAATTGGACACAAGACAAAGGACTTGCACTCTTCAACATGAAGGGTAGCATTATGTGTGTGCTTGGCGCCCGAAAAAGTGGAGTATTTGATTGAAAATTCTGGAACAACCGGTAACTAGGCGGTCATAGAGGAAACTGAAAAAAGATGGGGCGGAGGAGAGTCTGCCCCAGAGGCCGCGGAGGAAATGTGAGGCGGAGGAGTCACTAGGGGAAACCGACATTGGCAGAAGGTAAGCCATAGCAACTTGCTTAACGAGGGGGTTACGGATGGAGACCTCGTAACCGGAGCCGGCGGTGGGGGAGTACATGGCGGCTTCGTAGGAAGGGAGCACATCTTTGAGGGAAACGTAAGATGAGACGGGGGATTTTAGAGAACCCGAATCCAAGCTGGTGGTGCGATAGGGTGCCGTTGCTTGGGGAGAGTGTTTGTTGGCCACCAGCACTGATGTGGCAATGGAGTGGCGGCGGCGAAGGATTGGTAACCCTGGCGGCGGAAGGGTGGTGGCGGTGCCATTGGTGGAGTCAGCCATTATTTTCTTACAGGGAGTGTGGGCATAGAGTAACATAACACTTGCTGGAATATATAGAATGGAACATAAGTGAGGGAAATCAAAACGTGATCCTAATTACATAAAAAATAATAATTATATTAATTAAATAAATATATTCTAACGTTATTGCAATCTTTATTTACCTTTTTGTTTGGTAGAAAATTTTTTTATGATTTTCTCCTTCTAATTCAAATTGATCCAATCCTGATTGATTATTTCCAGTCTATCAGTGAAAAATATTTCATCCTTTTTGTATTTGTACAAACATTTTTAATTATATATAATGTTTTGACAAACAAAATAAGATTGTTACCACTAGGAGTCTGGATGGGCTTCCAAAAATAATAGTTTTTATATCTTATTTATTTTATAAATGTTTTTTTTATAAAAGTTAAAGTTATTTAGATTTTCAAAAAATATTTAATTTTTGAAAAAATATTTGACTTTTGATTTCTATTTTTTAAAAAACTAAAATTTTGTCTATAAAAAAAAACTAAAAATTTTATCTTTTAAAAAAATAAATTTTTGACTTTTTTATGACTTATGTTTTTACTAAAAATAGGCATCCAATCAGATTTTTTCTGAAAATTATTTTTTTTTTCTGAAAAAAAAAACTCATCCAAATCGACCTAAGTAGTAAAAGTGGGAATTGTGAATTCCCTTCTCCACTATTATTTGGTTCGCATCCCATTAATAAATTTTGTATAATTCTTTATTTTAAAAAATTTAACTAACCATATAGGTGAATATAATAATGTTTCATTTATCTTAGTTGATTGTGATGATGACATAATTAAGTTTAATTAGCTCAGTATGGATATTCGAATTATTGTAATTGATTTGATTTGATTAACTTTGAAATTTAAAATAATTATTTTAATCAATTAGATTCTTGCTATTTATAGTAATAATTTTAAATTTTAATTTATGAAAGTTCTAAGATATTTCTAATATGTTATTTAAAAATTTTTAGTAGTCCGAATAACCTCCCTCTTTTAAATCAAATCAATATATTTGAAAAAAAAAACTTATTTAATTCATTTTAAAAATATATATTATAAATTAACACAGTTAATCCTATATATTAATCGCACAGAATAAGTCTCACACGTTAACCATGCGACAATTAGTGCCAACATGGAAGCCTCGCACGATAAATGTACGAGACTCTTGTATATTTGTACTAAGAAATTTAAAAGTCTCATATGTTTGTCGTATGTATGGAACTTTTATGCTGGTTTTACGTCTCGAACAATGTTTGAGACTTAAAGAGTCTTGTACGGTCAATATACAGAATTTTCACCCTAACATTAAGTTCCTCATAATTGACCTAGAGGACTTGTCTCGCATGGTCAATGTACGAGATTAACCGTATTAGTTTGATATATTTTTTAAAAATAAATTAAATACATATTTTTTTTTATCAAATATCATAATACAGTAAAAAATCCCGTATATAAGCGATACAAAAGCAGTTAAATTATTTAATTGGGAGACTAAACCGGTCAATCATCCCCAAAACATGGCTATTATAATCAATGAATATTAGTAATTATAAATATTTTTAAATTTGATAAAAAAAAAAAAGGTTATATTTACAATCTTTTTCCTTTACAACTTTTTACAACCACTTTTATGGTTACTGAATTAAAATTAAATAAATAGTTACAAAATGATATTACTTGTTTAACGTTGATTTGATTTTGATCAAACAATCATAAAAATAATTGTAAGGAAAAATGTGTTATAAATATAACTTCTCTCTAAAATGGTGACTTCTAAATTTTTTAATAACTTAAAATGAGAACTGATATATAAATAAGTAAACAAAAATAGTTTCAAAAATAGTTTTAAAATATTATATGAAATTGTTAAAAAATAAAAAAATTATATTTATATCATGAGACTATATAATTTATCTCAAACATCAGATAAGATAACACTTTCATATCAGACTGCTTACCTAATACATATCAAATACATGATAGTATATGAGTTTATTAGACGCATATCCTGTCTTATTCTTATTCAATCCTCTTATCTTATCCGCTGCAGCGTCCTTATTTTTTTAGTTGTCATTAGAGATTTTGTCTTTTTGATCACATTTTAACTTTTTATGGCATGCTATAGAGAAAAACAAAAAAGGCACAATCAGAGTTGTTAAATCGTCCAAGTATCATCTTTAGGAGGGGTTTAAAGTCTTAATCTTTGACCCACCCCGAATCGGATTAGTTGCGAAGCAATGAACCGATTGGAATATTTCCAAAAAAATTGTTAAATCGCAATATGTATCGTAAATTATATCGAATCATAAGATAAAAATATAATAAAATTTATTTTTAAAATATTTATTTAATTATTTTCTTTATTTATAACCATACATAGATGAAAATAAATATAACCGTTGGATCCACATAATCGATCTAATGATAAAATTGGTTGGTAGTAACATTAATAATAAGTAATTGGTTGTTACAATATCCTATCCCCTTTATTAATACAATTTTTTCATATTGACTTTTGATTTTAAATTACAAATCAAATCTTTATTTTTTTTCGTTATTAATAATAATTTATTAGATTTTTATTTCAATTTTGACAGATAAAAACAGATACACATACACCAAGAGAAAGAAGAGATCATCATTATCCCAGAGATTATGTTCCAAATTTAAATCCAAACAAAAAATAAGGTAACAGATCGTAAGCGATCCCTTCAGATAAAGGCCCAAGGCCCTATATATTCATCAAAGGGGGGGAGAGGTTGCATTCTCGATTTCTAGTACACTCTCTCACAAGTCACAACAAGTATCCTCCTAGCTTTCCCTTTGGGTGTTGAGGGTGAAGTTCTTTTCGTTCCCTGCAGCTCTTGTAGTTGAGCAAGCTATTCCAGTTCCACAACCAAAACAACAACCTTTCCCTTTTTCAATTATCGAATATTGAAAAAAACAAAGAAAAGAACAGAGACACAAACACTCATATATAAGACCTTCCATCGTCGTATCGTGTCAATCTGAAACAAAATCCTAGATTGTCGACGATGATGCTCAGAATTCGAAGCCGCGATGGGCTGGAGCGAGTGAAGGTAGAAAAGCCACAGGGCGCAACTGTATCTGAACTAAAAAGCTTAATCGAAACCCAATTGGGAATCCCCACTCATAACCAAACCCTCTCCACAAACCAAAACCTTCTACTTGCTAAATCCCTTGAAGATCTCCTTCGATTCACCGATATGTCTAACCCTGATACTCCTCTCTCCGCACTCAACCTCTCTCATGGCTCCATCGTGTTCTTAGCCTACGAAGGCGAGCGCAGGGTGGCCGGACCCGCCTTCAACCCCGCCGGATCCTTCGGCCGCAAGATGACGATGGATGATCTCATCGCCAAGCAGATGCGTGTCACTCGCCAAGAGAATCCGCATTGCGAGCTTGTCTCCTTCGACCGCGACTGCGCCAACGCGTTTCAGAATTACGTCAATGAAACGCTGGCGTTTGCGGTGAAGCGTGGTGGGTTCATGTACGGCACCGTTTCGGAGGTGGGGAAGGTTGAGGTGGACTTCATATACGAGCCGCCCCAGCAGGGTTCGGAGGAAAATTTGGTGTTTTTCAGAGACCCGGAGGAAGAAAAATTGGTGGAAGCTATTGCGATGGGTTTGGGTATGAGGAAAGTTGGGTTCATATTCACACAGACCATAAGCCAGGATAAAAAGGACTATACTTTGTCCAATAGGGAGGTTCTTCAGGCTGCGGAGTATCACGCTGAGAGTGGGTTGAAGGAGTGGGTTACTGCTGTTGTGAAGCTTGAGGTGAATGAGGATATGGGTGCTGATGTCCATTTTGAAGCGTTTCAAATGAGTGATGTATGTGTTAGGCTGTTCAAGGAAGGCTGGTTTGAGACCGATATTGGGGAGGAGGATGATCCCAAATTGTCTAAAATGAAGAAAGATGTGGTTGTTGGAGTTAAGGATACAAGAGAGGTTGATAATGATTTCTTCTTGGTCGTAGTCAAAATCTTTGATCATCAGGTATCTATATCTTTCGTTGTTTTCCTCTTTCTTTTACTCCGTGTCCATGTGATTGTGATTGTGTTTGTATCTTACCGGTTTCCATGTTAGATGAATTTATGGGGCTCATCCGGACTAACTTTTGTTCAGCCCCTATGCTGTAGTTTAGTTATGCCGCAGAGATGCGTAAATTCCATTACCCCACTGCAACTTAACTTTGGGATGAGCACTACAAGAGTTTGTTTTGATGAGGGGTGGAAGGGGAATGGATGGGAAGGGAATAATTCTCCATGTTTGCAGTTTAAGCGTTTATGTTGAGGAAGAAAATGTGTGGGGAACCATTCTATCTTAAGCATTCACTTTTTGTTCCCCTCCAAATTGGGTAATGAGGGGTAGCTTAGTTTTGCTTTTATTTTAAACCCTTTTTGTTTACTATTTTGCTCTATAAATTTATTTTCTTAAAGAAGTTGAACTTTATGCTTACAACCTTTTATTTTTTTCCTTTCTCTTCTCATTAGTCATCGAGACATGGGGAAGTACAATCTTTTCCGTTTCATCCTATCCCTTTTCATTTCAGTCTTTCTAAAACTTCCAAATATAGCATACCTGACATTGTGGGTTGTATGAAATTACTTGTGAGGTATGACTGCAAGGGGTAAACCTATGTCTGAGAAAGACTGGCTGATCTAATATTCAGTGTTTGGAAAATTGTATATATGCAATTAAAAAAATTAATTGCAAAAACCATTGAAAGGTTTTTTGATACGTAAAATTGGATCATGCATCTGACTTTTACATTGGATCAAGTACACATGTCCAATTCATTCTCCCACAAGTGATGAGGTAAATAGCTTTACCCTTAGGCCCTTAACATGTCTAGTTATGAGTTGCATATTGAAGCTCTTTTTGCTGTATGTAATCAACATAAAATTTATCATTATTTTGTCTAAAAGTCTTCTCTTCATACTATATTCAAATTATGCTGATAAGATGCAAATAGTTATGAAATCAAAACATGTTTCTGTAGTTCCTTGAGGAGCTTGGGGAAACCTTTAAAGGCATAAGTGAGACAATCAATAGGTTGATTTCTAGCAAATTCATGTTGAAATTGTGTTAGGAACTGGTTTTACTGATAAGGAAAATGGAGACTAGCTCCTTACACCAGAAATGAATTCTGGAATCTCTCGGAATACAAGAACAGAAAGGAAAAAAACACAAAAAAAAAATTCCAATCCAAGACTGAGCCTCTTGCCTTAGGAGAGGCCTACTCACCAAGAATTCCCTGAATTTCTGCCAACCTACCTCTTTCTCTCACCCTCATGTATAATTATATTTTCTGATTCCCCTAACCGAATACCCCACAACCTTTCCTCTTCTACTCTCTGCCACATCATCAGTTTGTTATGCTGCGGCACATTGGCATGAATATTCTCAATATTCACCATCCTATCCTCCTTGTACCCATGGGTCTAACGGATTAATGTTGGGTACATAGAAGTGGCATACTCAGGTGTGTTGAGCATGGGTTTTTATGGAAGAGTCAGTTGGGCTGCATGTTAGTTGTAAATTTCAGGTAGTAAAGGAGGAAAATAGCTATTTGGCATAAGTTAATTCCATGTTTTTGAGGAAGGGGCTCGTCAATTGATATTTCGTTTCAGTGGATGGTAGTAAAATCAGAGAACACTGAATCGAAGTGATTTGATCTTGATACACCTCTAAAAAGGTCTATACTTGGAATAATAGAGTTGAGAACGGTGGAGTGGCAATAGGAAGTGAGTCTGTTACGTTGTATATTCTGGAATGTCCAGCTGGCAGCATTTGAGTGGAGGGATGGGTTCCATTCTGTTATTAGGAGATGAGTCTATATTGTTTTGTTATTTTATTTGAGTTTAGTAGGATATTGACATTATCATTTTTATTTTTATTTTAAATTTTTCATGTCTTCTTGTGAGATTAGTTAGTTATAATAATGACACTTAATGATTTAAATTGAGTCTGCCAATTGTTATTGTGGGGGCTCTCTTCGCAAAATAATTGTCCTGGGCTTGTGACTACTCCTTGGTAGTCTGAGTTTAGGTACAAGAAGTTAGTCTCTTTGACCTTGGTTAGCCAAATTTATTCACTGCGTCATTGCTAAATTATTGACCATATATATGTATATAACATAGTAACAAACTATCAAAGAGTAATACGTATGTCAACAGTTTTATGATCTTCACATTTATTTTTTGGGTACAGTTTTTTAATCTTATTTTTCTTTCTGTATACCTGTTGCTTGAACCAAGTATATGTTTAATGTAATGTTAGCAGTCATAGAAATGGTTCTTCTGCTCCAAAAACATAAAAATCTTTTAGTTGTAGGACAGCCTGAGACCTGAGTCAAATAGAACAATTCTGGTCTGTAGAAAGACGTTATTTGAGATAGACTAAAACTAAAATGGCAAAGTGGGGAGGGTCCAGCCACTCCCCTGGCCCTCCCGGGCGAAAAAACCTGAAACTGGGAAGCCTGTACGATACTGGTTAATTAAGGACTGTTGATATGGCGACTGTTGGATCTGTTGCTGACTTATTAGGTCAATACTTTAATCGTTAATGATAATGAGATATTAATTAAACCTTCTTCTGCTTGCTGTGCCATACAAGCCTGAGCTACAAGATTACATCTGTTATGAGTTTGTAATTTATAATTGTCATTTAACTTACCAAAATGCAGGGTCCTCTCTCGTCAACATTTCCCGTTGAGAACCGGAATACTCAGTTGACTGTGAAGGCACTTAAGAATCATCTTGAGCGGACAAAAAATCATCCATTTGTGAAGCGAATTTCTGATTTTCATCTTCTCCTCGTATTAGCAAGGGTTTTAGACCTGAGTGCTGATGTTCCTGCATTGACGGAATGTGTGCAGACACAGACTTCTGTACCAGAAGGTTACCAGATCCTTATTGAATCCATGGCCAGCGCTGCTTGATGCTGTATGCAGGTTTTCTGGGCTCATTTAGGATGGTGACTAATGAATTATGCGATCTATGTTCAGGTCCTTTACTGAATGGATGTATGTTAGTAACTCATACATTGCTTTTTATAGCATTGTGCAGAAATCCTGGATCTGTCTTTTTATTTAAAATGAGCTTATCTTGTGATTCACGTGTCTTAATGTTAAAATTAATTGGAGATAGTCCTTACGAGTATTCACTATTTTAAGTGCGATAATACTACAAAATAGTATGAAGATGATGTTTTAAATGTCTGCGTTCAAGGCTACTGGAGATGGCTTTTGCAAGCACAGTGTGCTGTATGCAGGCCTTTAGCTGAATGTCCAGCTTCATTAATGCCATGCTCCTTGAAGGTTTTTGATGCATGCATTTAGGCCTTATTCAAGAATGAAGTTTAGCATACAATTGAAGTATTTATATCTCATTCGTTACTGCATGCAAATTAATTGTCTAATTCCAATTTCTAGTAAACCATGCCCAAAGGTTGGGGTAAAAGCCTTTTAATAATACCATTTTCTAACATCAGGGTGCTTTTACAAATGAAAGGTCCTCGATCGGATGTTTTTGTTATGTTTCTTTCTGACTAGGTTAACACGTTTTTTGGAATCCAACCCGTATTTAAAAGTTTTCAGATTTTGACTAAAATCCTAAATGTTTACTACAACTGTTACTTTCTGAATTTATAATAATATATAATTAATGTGTTTTAAATCAGAATATTTTGCCTTAAAAAAATAAAAATCAAATGAAGGTAGTTCAATTGGTGTTAGACAACTGAGTAGGTAGAGGTTTGAACATGTGTTCAATTTTTTTTAATATTGTCTTTGAGAAGAATTTAAAATTTTGATACTGAAATATATCCTAAATCAGACTAGTTGTGGAGCGAGAATATTTTAAAAAAGAAAAAAAAAATCTTTCGTGTTTACTTATGAATATTTGGTATACAGTATACCCCTCGCTAGCTAATGGTAATGGTAAGTACCAATTATTTTAATTTCACAAAAAAGAAGAAGAAAGAAATACAAATCGTGTAGTTATATTTCATTTGTGGTTGAATCAAAATTACATATTCATTTACCGTCTCAAACTTCACCTTTAACTGACACAACTTATTACAGTCTCCATGAAAAAGAAAAAAAGAAAAATCCGTTAAAATAAAATGATGACCATGGCCATGGGTCGTAAATAATAGTTATTTGGCGGGAGATTTCGTAATTTTTGCTTTGAGTGTACTAAAACCCCCCCTTTCTACCCCACGAAGCGAGAGTGAAATCGCAGTGTTGCAGAAGAATTAGGTCATGGAAGATCCAGCTCCACCGTCTGAAGCATCCACTCGCCGTCCTGTTAGTTTCAATTCTCACCCTTCATAGTAACCTATGTGTATATATATTTTTCCAATCGTGTTTTGATTCGACCTAATTTTGTTTTGATGCATTCAAATTAAGCAGAAGAGGGGAAGACCTCCGAAAAAAATCGCCGTGGAAAATGAAGCCGATGCCGAGAACCGAGAGAGTTCGCCCGATGATTTCGGCACAAAATCTAAGCGAAATCGTGCTTCCGAAGGAACCTCGAGCTTCGCGCACAAACCCTCTGACCAGTCCTTGATCGGTTAACTAAACAATCTCCACTACTTTCCTTACTGCTCAAATATTTAGGGTTAGGGACTCCCTGAGCGAAAATTTCATGCGCAACTCTTGCTGAGTTGCTTGCGTATCACAGACTTTGAACTTTGAACTTCGTGAATGACTTACTCTTTTTGCCTGGTCTTTTTTCTTTATATGTGTAAATGATTTTTTAGCCTGGCGTATTTGTATTTCCTTTTTAGGACTATAGTTTAGATTGGGGTTGTAGATTTTGTTATACAGTAACTGGATCGGGGCTAATTTTCTTGTATGATTTTATGTAGAGGTGATCAAAGGTAATAACAAACTTATTCCTCATATGGTCAAACTTTGGGTTGAGCGCTATGAAAAGGATCCAAAACCTGCAATGGTTGAACTCTTGACAATGCTGTTTGAGGTAATACGAATTTTTAAAGCAGTTACAAAATTTTTTAAAGGAGTGCTCGAGATAGACATTTTATATTTTAGTTTCACGTGAAAATCAAGGGCCAAAAGTAGATTCTGTGAAAACTTAGAAACTGTAATATTTGGTTAATGCTCAAGTTTTTAGGGAAAAAGAAAATCCTTATTGATTCAGGAACTCTTAACTGATAGTGATGAAATGAAATTTTAAATGGTGTAGGCATGTGGAGCCAAGTATTACGACAAAAGTGATCTCGTGGATGAGACTGATGTTGATGATGTTGTAGTTGCTCTTGTCAACTGTGCTAAAAGGGTATACAATTTGTTCCTTTTTGTTTCTATTACCTTTTGTCATTTCCCCCCTAAATTTACTAATTTCTTAGTAGTGGTAATACTAATACCATTACCAAGGCCTCAGCCTCATCTCTTTTGATATAATGATCAAATAATGAGCTAGATGTAGACATTTACCCTCTCTTTTTTATCTTTTGACATTTTAGGGTGAAGTTGAAGACTATCAACATTCCAAAAAGGAGTTTAAAAACTTAAAAGAGAATCTAGAGTCATTCTGGGATAATTTGGTTCGTGACTGTCAGCATGGCCCATTGTTTGATCAGGTTTTATTTGACAAGTGCATGGACTATATAATTGCACTGTCATGGTTAGTATGACTACTTAAAGCTTCTATTTTGGAAAAATATATTTAAGATGACTTATGTACTGCTGTACCTATGTAGCACCCCTCCAAGAGTTTACCGTCAAGTTGCTTCATTGATGGGTCTTCGGCTGGTCACATCATACATAACTGTCGCTAATATGCTTGGTGCGCAAAGAGAGACTACTCGTAGACAATTGGATGCTGAAAAAAAGAAAAGGAATGAGGGGCCTCGGGTGGAGTCATTAAATAAAAGGTTTTCGGATACTCATGAGAGAATAACATTGTTGGAGGAGATGATGCGTAAGATTTTTACTGGGTAGGAGTTTGCTAAATTAAAGAAACTATTTTTCTTTAAAGGAAAAGAAAGCAATGCTTTTTCATGAGTATAGTAATCGTTGTGGCTGTATATCTAACATGTCCGTGTAATGCTTTTTTTGAAGGTTATTTGTGCATCGCTACAGAGACACTGACCCAAATATTAGAATGTCATGCATCGAGTCACTGGGTGCATGGATCCTGTCATATCCTTCACTTTTCCTGCAGGATTTGTACTTGAAATATCTTGGGTGGACATTGAATGACAAAGTAATGAACAGATTTTAATTTTCTTATCATGCAACTTTTAATTTTCTTATCATATACCATGCGACTTACTTGTTTCTACTCTTTCCTTTTACCTTTTCCCCCGCCGTCCAATTTATAGAATGCTGGCGTAAGAAAGACTTCTATAAGCGCACTGCAAAATCTTTATGAGGTGGATGATAATGTACCAACCCTCGGTTTATTTACTGAGAGATTTTCTGGCCGAATGATTGAGCTTGCTGATGACATTGATGTTTCTGTTGCTGTTTATGCCATAGGTCTTGTTAAACAACTACTAAGGTCTGAATTCCACACTTATTTCAATGATATATTACCTGTTTGCTGGTGAGTTTTTATGCAACAGAGTGTTAATTAAGAATTGATTTCTTGGTTCCCTCCAGACATCAACTTATTCCAGAAGATGACTTGGGTCCATTGTATGATTTGTTGATTGATGATCCCCCGGAAATCAGGCATGCCATTGGAGCATTAGTGTATGATCACCTGATTGCTCAAAAATTTAATAGCTTACAATCTGGATCTAGAGGTCTGAAGTCTATTCATGAACTTTTTCACTTTAAAATGGATACCGTTACTTTGACTAAGACAAGCATGTGATAAAAGACAATTTCTTTCCAGGTGAAACTGACAATTCTTCTGAGGTCCATCTTAAGAGAATGTTGCGAATTCTGGAGGAGTTCCCACAAGATACAATTTTGAGTATTTATGTGATTGATGACGTGTGGGAGTTCATGAAAGCCATAAAGGTATGCCTATATCAGGGAGGAAATGGAACAAAGTGGAGGCTTCTCCTTTTGACCAGCACATCTTTTGTTTGACTGTTTGCTCATGTAGCTCTGTGTGCTGAATATTCCAATCCTAGGATGTTCTTGGTTGGAGGGAAATATGAGTGATGTAGAGGGATAAATAGGCAAGGTATAGAGACACAATGCCATCCTAGATACATAAAAATAATTTATGTATCATAGATGAAAAAAGCGGCACAATACCGCTTCAGTACCAGGTAGCGGCACTTAGCCGCAAGCCCGCAACAAATCACAGCAACGCTATAGTTTAATGTTGCGGCAGTAGCGGTTGATATTTGCAGTTGCGTTTTGCAGGAGTAGCTCTGCAATTTCAGCACTACTGATGGAGGAAGAGAAATTTGTTAATGTTAAGGGTATTATTGTCTAATATTTTAATTTTATGAGTAGAAAAAACTTTTATTCCTAAAACCTACCTAGTTTACAATTTTATCACTCCAAAATATCGACCTACAATGCCTCCTTTGTTTCGTTCTCTGTCTCTCTCTCTTTCACCCATTTTCTGGCAAGTCTATGCGGCGCAACCTCTTTGACTACGACAGAACCTCATCTTGCAGATTCTATTTTGATCTCCAGCATCCTCTCTTACTCTCTTTTTTTTGTATTTATCACCAGCGTGAAGGAGTAGTTCTCTCTCATCTCGTGGCAAGGGAAACCCAAAACCATCTTTATTTAATCTAATTTCCAACGGGGTTTTTACTTTCATTAATACATATTAGTCCGAAACTCTTGAGTATATTAGTAATCTATTTATATATATATTATTAATCTAAATATATTATTGATATGAATATATATATTAATACATTATTATTTTATATTAAATAATTATAAATTATCAGATGTTTAGACCCACTCCTTCACAATTATATTAATATATTAATATTAATCAACATCAACATCAACAACACCTTTATCCCAAATTAATTGGGGTCGGTGGTAGATGAACCCACATGAAAGATACAAAACGGTTGAAAAAAAAGTAAAAAAAGCAAAAAATAAATAAATAAATAAAAATAAACAAATAGAATAAAAAAATAAAATAAAATAAAATAAAATAAAATAAAATAAAATAAAATAAAATAAAATAAAAATATATGTAAATATAAATAAATAAAAGTAAAAAAGATAGGGACAAGAAGAAGTGGGGGAAATGAAGGGGAAAAGGACTAAAAATGGACCATCTGGAACATAGGAATAACAACGGGTCTAACCCTCCACCATACTTATAGCTTTTCTCTATTCCGTTCTAAGACATACTGTCCGCCAATCTATATCCCACTCCATTAAATCTTGTTTTACTACCTTCCCCCAAGTAAGCTTCGGCCTACCTCTGCCTCTTTTTGTGTTTAGCTCTTGGTAACAAACTTCTGTTCTTACAGGAGCATCCATGGGTCTTCTCATCACGTGTCCAAACCACCTCAATCTATGTTCTCTCATCTTCTCGGCTACCGGTACTACTCCGACCTTTCGTCGAATATCTTCATTTCTTATCTTATCCATCCTTGTGTAACCACACATCCACCTTAACATCCTCATCTCTGCTACTCTCATCTTATGCTCATGTTGCCTATGTGCTGGCCAGCATTCCGCTCCATATAGCATTGCCGGTCTTACTGCCGTTTTATAGAATTTTCCTTTTAACTTCAGGGGGATTTTGCGGTCACACAAAAATGCAGATGCACTGCGCCATCTCATCCACCCTGCTCTGATTCTGTGATTTACATCCTCATCAATCTCTCCACCGTTTTGTAAAATGGAGCCCAAGTATTTAAAAGCATCTTTTTTGGGTACCTCTTGACCATTTAGATGCACAGGCTCTTGGTCCTCATCTCGTACCAGAGAAAACTCACACTTCAGATACTCAGTCTTGCTTCGACTTAATGTGAATCCTCTGGATTCCAATGTGCTTCTCCACAATTCAAGTTTTCTATTAACACCCTCCTTGCTCTCATCAATAAGCACAATATCGTCTGCAAAAAGCATACACCATGGCACTTCCTCTTGAATATCTTTTGTTAGTTCATCCATAACTAAAGCAAAGAGGTAAGGATTTAGAGCCGACCCTTGGTGTACACCTACCGTGAAAATAACTTGATGATCCGTTACAAGCTTTTACACATGTAGTAGCCCCATCATACATATCCTTGATTGCCTTTACATACTTTAATGGAACATTTTTCTTCTCCAGGACCCACCATAAAACTTTCCTTGGAACCCTATCGTATGCTTTCTCAAGGTCTATGAACACCATATGCAAGTCCTTCTTCTTTTCTCGGTATCTTTCCATTAGTTGTCGCATCAAGAAAATGGCTTCCATGGTACATCTTCCTGGCATAAATCCAAATTGATTTACAGAAACCTTGGTATCTCTCCTCAAGCGATGTTCAATAACCCTCTCCCACAACTTCATAGTATAGCTCATTAGCTTAATGCCTCTATAGTTTGAACAATTCTGTATATCTCCCTTGTTTTTGTAGATAGGCACAATCATACTTTTCCTCCATGCATCAGACATCTTATTCGTCTGGAGAATCTTATTAAAAAGATTGGTCAACCATTTTATTGCCACATCCCCCAGGCCTCTCCACACTTCAATAGGGACACCATCAGGCCCCAAGGCTTTATTAGTCTTCATCCTCTTTAAAGCCTCCTTAACTTCATGTGTATTAATTCCGCGTACAAATCTTCTATTCATATCATCGTACGCGTCCTCTTAGTCCACCTCGCTTGTATCTCCATCCCCATTAAAGAGCTTGTTGAAGTATTTCAACCATCTTTCATTTACATCTTCATCTCTCACCAGAAGTTTTTGATTTTCATCCTTGATGCATCTAACTTGGGTGAGGTCTTTACTTTTCTTATCCCTTATCTTTGCAAGTTTATAAATACCTCTTTCACCATCCTTGCTCCCAAGATTTTTATACAACTCGTCGAAAACCTTGCCTCTAGCTTCTCGCACTGCTTTCTTTGCATTTTTTCTCGCCAATCTAAACTTTTGCAGGTTCTCTTCACTGGAACTTTTATGCAAAGATCTAAAGCACTCATTCTTATGTTTAATTGCCTCTTGCACCTCTCCATTCCACCACCATGTTTCCTTTGTATGAAATCCATTTCCTTTGCTTTCTCCCAACACCCTCCTTCCCAAATTTTGAATACACTTAGCCATCTCATTCCATATTGCATTTACTCCTCCATCAAACTTCCAAGGTCCTTCGTGCAACATTCTATCATTGAACTCTCTCTCTTTTCCCTCCTTAAGCTTCCACCACCTTATCCTTGGATTCTGAGCTCTCTTCTTCATTGTACGTACTTTGTTGAACCGAACATCCAAGACTACCAGCTTATGTTGCGTAGCGACACACTCTCCAGGGTAGACCTTACATTCGACACAAGAAGTTCTATCTTCTCTTCTAGCCAGAAAGAAATCAATCTGACTACGATTATGGCTACTATGATAAGTGATTAGGTGTGACTCCCTTTTTTGAAAAAAGGTGTTCACTAACATCAAATCGTAGGCTAGTGCAACATTCAAGATATCTTCTCCAGTCTCGTTTCTCGTCCCATAGCCAAAACCTCCATGGATTCTATCAAAACCTCCATTGCTTTTACCAACATGACCATTTAGATCTCCTCCTACGAAAATCTTCTCCTCTCGAGGTATTTCCCTCAAAACCTCCTCCAAGTCTTCCCAAAATTGGCTTTTATCAGTTGGTTGCAATCCAATTTGGGGTGCATACACACTGAGGATATTCAGGATTAAGTCACCCACAACAAGCTTAACAAGGCTTAACCAGAATAATCCTGTCGCCTTTCCTTTTGACGTCCACAACTTTATCATTTATAAATGGATTAATATTATATATGTAATGTAATTTAAGTATACCATTTATGTGGATTTCGCTGTAGCGGTAATACCACTATCCGCTATTAATAACTCTGATCTATTTTCCTCAACCAAGACCGCATAATATCTGTTAATAGTACTTGACACAGCAGGCAACCTTGCTTATTTGAGTTCAAAAACAATTTTTTAAATTTGTTGAGCAAGCAACTATTCCTTTTTTGATTTTTATAATTTCATTCCAAATTTTACATCAGAGTAGTTGGGCTCAAGTCCATAACTTTTTCATTTGCCTTGTTATCTAGTGCGAGGTGGTGCCATATCATATTTATCTTTTTCTTATAAAAAATATTAGCATTTTTGTCTTGCTTTTGGGACCATGATTAGAAAAACAAAATCTATTCATTGATTTTTCTCTGTTTTTTGAAATTTTAAGTTGTATACAAAATACTGTTTTGTTGCAAAGCGTATGCCAGAAAGTTAATTGTCACTACCCTAGCCCATATGGCCATGCTAGGCCTAGTTAAACATAATGAGGGGTTCATCATGATTGGTGATGGTGTGTAATTTTTTGTTAGAATCTAGAAAGTATCTTGTAATATCATTATAGTATTTTAGAATATTTTAGAGTATCGTAGATGATCTTTTAGGCGTGGTTTTCATATTTCATTATATTTCGTGATTTTTTTGCTCATGTAATTATGATTAGGAGTCTAGTATTTTTACGAATAGGGGGTGGTGCTTTATATTTTGTATCACATTAAATCAATGCCAGTTTCAACTTTTTCATTCTCTATTCTGTCTTTTCTTCCTTTCCTATCCAAAATCATATAATTTGAACACTTTTAACAATTGGGTAGTCTTTATCAGGAACCTGTGTTACCTCAGCTGGTCAGCATTATCCCTAATGATTTTCTACATATCTTTCATAAAACAATGGCTTTTCTATGAAATATGTGTAGGCTATAAAAAAAATAAAAAAGACTGTTGTTATTCTTTGATGATTCCAGAGAAGCAGCTTGAGTAGAAATCTGGAATACTGGATTTGGTCTCACTCTTCTGGGTTTCTGCACAAAGTATTTGCTTTAAAAGCTTGATCTGTATGTTTAGGCATTGCTTCCCTTGGGATATTGTGTTAAAGAACAGCATCTAAAATTGTTCCAAGTCGTATTTGTCGATGTATTGTATTGTACTCTGTAATATGAAGTGGTTTCTTGATGGCACTCAATATTTTGCTGGCAGGATTGGAAGTGCATTATATCCATGCTCCTCGATGAAAATCCATTGGTTGAGCTCTCTGACAGTGATGCAACAAACTTGGTGCGACTCCTGTGTGCATCTGTGAAAAAGGCGGTTGGAGAGAGGATTGTTCCTGCTACTGATAATAGAAAGCAATACTACAACAAAGCCCAAAAAGTTTGTGTCACCTTGGTTTTCTATTTTTTTAAATCCAATTCTTAGTTTTTCAATTTTTTTGGTGGTGGAAGTTTTTCTTTTGTATTTATACTGGTCTTTGATGTGGATGTTTAATGAATATTTTGGCAAAGTAAAAGTTTCAGCAATCCATGCTTTTATATATCGTACAGATAATTTTGTTCTGTTATTTCTAAATGTTTCAAAAATTCCTCTTTGGAATTTTGTGGTTTTTCTAGATTGTAGATTCAAAGTATAAATCTCTGATTACTTCAGGCATTCACAGTTAAATTATTCTGGGTAACAAAAAATATGATCACTAGGTCCTTGGCTAGTATCAATTCTAGGAGTACTCTTTGTTGTAGTGTTTGTGCCTATGCTAATGATTGATTAATGTTCATTGTGTTAAATTATTGTTCTTTGTGACAAATTCTAATCTCTTTTTCTCCAATAAATGACAGGAAGTATTTGAAAACAATAAACAGGATATAACTGTTGCCATGATGAAGAGTTACCCATTACTGTTGCAGAAGTTCATTTCAGATAAAGCAAAAGTGTCATCGCTGGTTGAGATTGTTTTGTATATGAACCTTGAGTTTTATTCCTTGAAGAGGCAGGAACAGGTTGGTTTTTTTTTTTTTTTTTTTTTTTTTGCAGGTTGTGTCAGACTATTTATGATGTTTCTGAAAATTTAATTAGTACTTGCTTTTCAGAATTTCAAAAATGTCCTCCAGCTCATGAAAGAAGCATTTTTTAGGCATGGTGACAAGGATCCTTTGAGAGCTTGTGTGAAGGCAATTACTTTTTGTTGTCTAGAAAGTCAAGGGGAATTGCAAGATTTTGCCCGTAATAAAATAAAGGAACTCGAGGATGAAATTATCGCTAAGCTGAAATCTGCAATAAAAGAAGTAGTGGTATGTTCCAGGGAACTCAAATGTCATATTTTTTTGTCACTTTTGGATCTCCTAGGAGAAACATGACATATAGTGGGATGACGCTGCAGGATGGTGGAGATGAATATTCTCTTCTTGTAAACTTGAAGAGGTTGTATGAGCTCCAACTGTCAAGATCTGTGCCTATTAATGGCCTATATGATGACATTGTCATGGTTCTACGTGATTTTAGGAATATGGAGGATGAGGTGTGTTAATGGTTGCTCACAACAGCCGTTATGTTTTACTTGACATTCTTATATGTGTTTGATTATTAATTTTCTGTTTATTCCCATTCAGGTTGTTGGTTTCCTGCTTCTGAATATGTATTTGCATCTGGCTTGGGATCTGCAGTCTATAATAAATGGAGGAAGTGTTTCTCTAGAATCCTTAACTTCTCTTCTGTCTAAGCGTGATACCTTGTTACAAGAACTTGCATACTTTCTGAACTTGGCTACTGACAACAAGGAAGGGGGTAAACAAGGAAGTGAACTGGCTTGCAGAGTAAGAAAACTCTGACTTGTTTTCTTTTTTCTCTCTCTAGTAATAATATATTATGCCTTGAGTTCCCAGATTTGGTCTGATAAAATATGTTACTGTCGAAGGTATGCACTATACTTGCAGAAACATGGTTCTTATTTAGGATGGCAAAACTCAACAAGACAAATCTGGAAACATTGGGATATCAGCCAGATGCATATGTGCTTCAGAAGTTCTGGGTACTATGTCAACAACAGCTTAATATTTCAGGTGACCTCAGAAAGATATGCTAAAGATGATGGAATAGTGTGAAGATTCATCTTTTGTTTCTTAATTAAATTTAAACAATTTGTAAAATGTCAAAATTCTTATTGTCTGTGTCTGCCGTCTCTAAGTTGAACTGGCATTTGAAGTTGTAAAAAACCAATTCAACCCAAAAGCTTAACCTAATGGGCGAAGCTACATTAATGGTTTTTATATATCTCTAACACGTACCCTCATACGAGAGCCCACTGGGCTTGAAGGGTGGACAATGCACAGGCCCACCTACCTGTGCTAAGAAATTTCACACGAGAAAGTGGGGGGGTGGTGAGAATCGAACCTGTGACACTTAAGCTCCGATACCATGGAAAGAACCAATTCTACCCAAAAGCTTAAGCTAGTGGGTGGGTGAGGCTACATTAATGGTTTTTATATATCTCTTTCAGAAGTTTACATTGCTTATTACCTTTGGCGTTAATACTTCTATTCATCATTGATCCTTCATATATTTAATTATTTATTTTGTACTCGTATTGTTTATAATGCTTGAATTCTGTTTCACTTGCCTATGGATTTTCAGATGAGGCAGAAGATGAAGATGTTAACAAAGAGTATATTGAGGAGATAAATAGAGATGCTGTTATGATTACTGCCATAAAGCTGGTCACCTATGATGTTGTTCCAAAGGTAAATTGTTGTTTGTTTCTGAAAAGTTATGACAATTGCAAATTTCTCTTGGCAAAAATACTTTTCTTGCTAGTGAAATATGATTTGATGCCCAAATCTGGCTCTTCCTAATGCAGGGGTATCTTGCTTCTGAGATTATTTCTCACTTTGCAATGCATGGGACAAGTGTGGCTGAGATTGTAAAGCATCTTATCACAGTTCTGAAGAAAAAAGATGATGATTTGGCTGCAATTTTTCTGGAGGCACTTAAAAAGGTACCAGAGAAAGGAAAAAATGTTATAACACTAGCTACTACCTCGTCTGATATTGATTTCTTATTATATTTCCTGAGCACCTTCCAAACACTTTAATTTAACAATTTTAGCTTAAGCTCAATGTTGACACAGTTCAACACGGGATTCACTTTTTTCCTAGAAGAATCACTGCAACTGAGCTTATTTCTTTGTGATGTTTTATGGATAAAGAATTTTAATATGATTTGGTAGGAAATGAGGGCCTGTCTTTCCACCATCCCTCTGCCTTAGATGAATCTCCATGTTTTATATGTTACCCTGTTCTATTTTGAATTCTTTACCAATTTATTTTGGTAGGCATACCATCGGCATATTGTGGATATCTCTGGAAGTGAGAATGATTCCTTGGAAAACAACTCTTTCTTAGGATGTAAAGATCTGGCTGCTCGGCTTTCTGGAACATTTATTGGTGCTGCCCGGAACAAGCACAGATCAGACATTTTAAAAGTTGTCAGGGATGGTATTGAATATGCTTTTGTAGATGCCCCAAAACAGTTGTCTTTTCTGGAAGCAGCGGTGCTCCATTTTGTGTCAAAACTCCCTGCATCAGATGTGTTGGAAATGTAAGAGTTTGTTTGTCATTTTGTTAGTGCCATCCAGAACCATATGTAGCTCCACACATTTTAATGTAGCTTCTTTATGAATAGTATGAAAGATGTTCAAAAGCGAACAGAAAATGTCAATACAGAGGAAAATCCCAGTGGTTGGCGTCCCTATTACACATTTATTGACAGCTTACGTGAAAAATATGCAAAGAATGAAGGCTTTCAAGGTAGTTTATGCAATTTATTTCCATTCTTATTCATTGTACCATATGGCCAAACGCTTTACATTATAAGCAACAACCTGTTAGATCCCTACTTAAACAAAATAGATAAAATAGTCACTAATTATTTTTTTAAGAATTCCTGAAAAATCTCCAATATGTAACGAGCAAATGACATTTGCCAAACACTTTTCTCCAGTTGTTACTTGATTAACTAGTTGTTGCTCACAAGTTAACTTTTGGTCCAACATGTTGGGCTTGACTAGCTGGCTCAGTCATTCTTCTGCTATGGTTCCTCTCTCTTGGTTGTTATTCTTGTGTTCCTATGCCTGTCTCTTTGCAAGCGCACATTTGTCTTGTCTACTTAACATTTTCTGTTGGCAAACTTTGCTGTATCTTTGTTGCCTTTTCATTTGCTGTGTATATTGTTCATGTTTAATATATCCCCTAGCATGGAATATTTTATTTATGATAAGCTACAATGAGCATACTGTAAGGTATGCTAAAATTCACAATTTTGATGGATGGTATGTGTTGAGATATATAGTCCCACGTTGGTTGTATGTGTAATTAATGTGGAGTTTATAAGGCCGTGGGCACTCCCACCCTTTGAGCTAGCTTTTAGGTTCTTTACATGGTATCAGAGCCTCGTGTCCCGGGTTCGATCCTCGCCACCCCCCACTTTCTTTTGTGGAGCACAGGTAGGCTGGGCCTGTTGCATTGTCCACTCTTCAAGCCCAATGGGCTCTCGTGTGAGGGGGCGTGTTGAGATATATAGTCCCACATTGGTTGTATGTGCAACTAATGTGGAGTTTATAAGGCCGTGGGCACTCCCACCCTTTGAGCTAGCTTTTAGGTTCTTTACATGGTATCAGAGCCTCGTGTCCCGGGTTCGATCCTCGCCGCCCCCCACTTTCTTTCAAGTGAAACTTCTTTGATCGCACATGTTGATGGGCCTGTGCATTTGCACCCTTCAAGCCCAGTGGGCTCTCGTGTGAGGGGGCGTGTTGAGATATATAAAAACCATTAATGTAGCCTCACCCAATAGCTTAAGCTTTTGGGTTGAATTGGTTCTTTACAGTATGTACCTGGAATAAGCTTGAAGGTTTTAATGTATTATAGATGCATTAAAAAAAATCGTGGTATGAGTTGCATTTCAACTCAGAAGAAACAAGATTGTGATTAAAATTTTTAGCTCCATTCGCTGATGAGTAATCATGGGCTGATTTGGGCACTACTTGTATAAAAGATGATCATAACTGAAAAATGAGAAAAGGATCAAGGGATTTAGATTTACTCATTGGAAGATGCTCAATATTGTCTGAACAGTACATAATTTGATTTACAATGTAACACATTTTTTTCAACTGTATCAAATTACGAATCTGTTACTGTTAATAGTCAGGGTTCTAAATAAGTAAATTTGGTTGGCTATATAGGGTGGATAAATCAAAGTTTAGGTGCTGTTAGACGTGTACTGATGGCTTTGTTGTTGTTGTGGCACACTGGTGGTGAAAGTGAATATCATGTCCAGGTAGAGGGAATATAGTTGATTAATGAGTTCAGACATGATTTCTCCTTCTATTCTTTTAAAGCGGGTTGTTCTTGTAGGTTTGATTGCTTTTGCTAAATGTACGACTTATTTCATAGCTGTTTGCTGTTGTAAATGTCTAGGTTTTCCCTGTTCATTGCCTTTTGGCACTAGTCTCTCTGGTCATGTACTTGTCCCTCTTAGTTCTCACGAGTTTGAAGTTCTCTTCAGGATGCAACTTGACAATTGCCTATGGCTATAATTGTATAACTTTTACATTATCAGGATAATATAGTGCTTGGGTTTGTCTGCTTATCATTTCAGCACTAGGGTGCATGTGAACTGAGTTTTCCTTTAGCCACCGCCACATTTCGCAATGGTTTTTATTTTTCACAAAATTATCAATAATTAAATGACATCAAATATCTTCTTTCCTTTTCTTGGTGTGCTACATGATGTGACTTTAGATGTCGAGAATGGATATATTTAGTGTAAGGACTAACAGATCATCATTTTCAGATGAAAAAGAAGGGGTTTCTGTTAGGCGCAGGGGTCGTCCTCGTAAGAGGCAAAACATAACAGGAAAGAAGCTTTTTGATGAGCAAAGCTCAAGTGAAGATGAGGATTCCATTAGTGTATTCGAACAAGATGCACAAGACGAAGGGGGGAGGCAAGAGGAGGATGACGAAGATGCTCCTTTGATACATTCAATCAGATCATCATCCAAGTTAAGGTCGCTTGGAGTTTCTAGGGAGGAAAGCAAAAGTCAGACAAAGACGGGGAGTTCTGTGAGAGCTACAGATAATTTATCTGCTTCTAGAACATCAGGTATCTCGTGTTAGCGTATCAATATACGGATATCAGTCTTGCAACTAAATGCTAATTGAATTGAAGATGTTCATACTACTGTTAAAAATAAATCTGTGTCTGGCTTTGGAAATGAGTTTTGCTTTCCCAGCCAAGATAATTTGAGATGTTATTGAATCCAATTGAAGTGCTTGCTTGATATTTTTGCCTATTTTAGGTACAAAGCAGTGATTTTGTGGTGTACATGCTTACGTAAGGCACTGCTTTCAGGGGGATTTTTTCCAAAATAACTTGGAATCTTTGTTAGAAACCCAACCTTGTTTTCTTCAACTTTTCTGACCGGGAACGCTACTTCTTTGGAGATTTTATTACCTCCCTAAAATTCTTCTCTGAAACGAGATAGACGTAACTGATTGTGGGTTTTACTTATGGTGCTTTGATATTGTTTTTTCAGCTTAAAGTTGTCTCATGTTAATATGTAGTGAACGTTTGGGTGCATACAAAAAAATGGAGTATATCTTTACCTAATTACTGTCACTCTGTCTTCCATTGTGCAGGTGCATCAAGCTAGTCTTGCAAAGTTGTAGGATACGAGTATATTTTTGTAATTGCATTGGCACATATTAATTGATATAGTGGTTTAGGAATTCTGGATTGCAATTCAACTTGCCGGTTGTATATGGTAGTGAAGCTTGTTCTGCTCAAGATTGCTTGGCTTACTGCTGAATATAAATTAGTAAAACACTATACCAGGGCCAATCTGAATTGAAAAGTTAGCATTATCTTCTCACAATTTCATTGTGGCGCTCAATATTTTTTAATTTTATGCTGAATTATATATACACTCGAAATTCTCAGCTCAAGTTTGGTTGTCCGGTCAGGTGTAATAGCCCTCCTAAACAAATAAATCGTATAACGGAACAAAATTATTAACCTTTGTAAACAAAATGCAAAATGGCGTATTTAATTAAAAAAGTGCAAGATAGCGCGTGGTTGAAACTTCGAAGTGTGAAAATATACAAGCGCCAAAATGTACGAACTTATTATGCATAGCGCTTTAGTGAATAAGATCTCATTTTATGGGCCTTGCCTCATGTGTCATCTCCTTCGATATTTGTGAGATTATTTATTACCAAACGTTGAGCTAAATCAACGAGTAATATTTAAAAATGATGAATTTCAAAGTTAGCTTTAATTAATGTAATAATTATACAATATTATTTGTAACACCGAATCTATTATTTAAAGAGAAAAAAATTTATTAGTGACGGAATTTTGGTATGTTTTTATGTCATAACAATTATAATTTTCATAAACTATTGATCAAAAAGATTAATATAATATCTCACAAATGTAAAAGTAAACAAAATCATTAAAAAAAGCAGGAGTCTAAGAAGAAGAAAGTTTAATAACCTGCAAGTAATTTAAAGCCCAATATCGTCGTCATTCATAAAGGAACAAGGTTAAAGATTTGCTAGTCCGGCCCATTTAAAATACCCAACAGCAAAGCCCATCATTACCAATAAGCAAAACCCTAGGGATGGATCGGATCAGCTATAAAAAACGTAGAAAGGAGATTCTTCAAGAGTGATAGCTTCTTCTACACTTGGCCGTGCAAAAGGAGAGAAACCCTAGGTGAGTAAAGATGCCGGCTGGTCATGGATTGAGGTCCCGCACCAGAGACTCGTTCTCTCGGCCATTCAGGAAGAAGGGTACCATCGCCCTTACCACATACCTCAGGACCTATCACATCGGCGACTACGTCGATATCAAGGTCAATGGCGCCGTCCACAAGGGTATGCCTCACAAATTCTACCATGGCCGCACTGGAAGAGTCTGGAACGTTACCAAGCGCGCCATTGGTGTCGAGGTCAACAAACAGGTATACCTTTTACCTCCACCTTTCTCTTAATTCCTTCCTCATTAGAAATTGAAAATAGATAACATGCTGATTGCGTTTCGGGTTCTTGATATTGGATCTCTTGTATTAGATCTCTAATTGTTTGTTATTATTGTTTTTTAGTTATACTCTTGTACCGTTTTTGACCTAGATTTAATAGTGCTGCTGTATTCCCTCAATTGTTAGATGTTAATTTGAAGGTTTATTTGATGATGCGTCATTATGCTGCTATGTTTATTTTTAGCCCTTCATACTACGTTTTGGATGACGATGAACTTTTGTGCTCTGTTCTTTTGATTTAGTAATTTGCTCTTCAGTTCCCCTCTGCCTTGTTCTTTGGTTCGGCTTGTGACTTTCTGCTTGTTACAATTGATAAAAGTAGCCCTATCTTATTCAAATAATGTGTGTGATCCAGGTTGGGAACAGAATAATCCGAAAGAGGATTCATGTCCGAGTGGAGCATGTGATGCCATCAAGGTGCACTGAGGAGTTCCGCCTTAGGAAGATCAAGAATGATCAATTGAAGGCTGAGGCCAAGGCTAAGGGTGAGGTCATCAGCACCAAGAGACAGCCTCAGGGTCCTAAACCAGGTTTCATGGTTGAAGGTGCTACATTGGAGACTGTCACACCAATTCCATATGATGTCGTTAATGATCTTAAAGGCGGCTACTAGTTTTTTCTTCCTGTTTGCTGGACTGCGTAGTTTTGTTTGGATTTCAGTCCTTTTTTGTTTTTCATTGAAGAGCCTTAATATTATTGAACAATCAGACTCAAGTTTTGTCTTGTTTAATTCTAGATACAAGGTTATGATCTATTTTGCTCGTTAATATGCTTTACTGTATTCTTCTACCATTTTTATCGTTTGATTTATGAAATATTGCTTGTGGCACGTCTGGGCACACATTGCTTCTAGGAAACATTGTTTGTAGTGGTGGTTTATACATCGTTGCATTGCTTCTGACTTTAGAAAATAACAATTTAACCAAGACACCAAGGTCCTCGGTAAATTCATTGAACAAGCTTGGGTTCGAATATATAACACATAATTGAATAATTTTGTTTTTAGCAAATCTGTTATGGTGAAAAGTTGAGTTTTTGGGCGGAGTGTTTTTCGAGTACCTTGCAAATTTTAATCTAGGATTTCCTTGAGTTTTAGTTCTTTCGTTTAACATTTTTGTAATTAAATAATTGTATTTTTATAATTAGCAAGCCGTGAGAAATAGTGTTTTTTTTTTTTAATTAAAAAAAAATTCTCGCTTAGACTGTTGTATTGTGGATTTATGTTTTCGTTCTCAAAATTATTGGATGGCAATGACAGAGCCTTTTTCTTATCGTACGAACGTTAGTTTGATGATTTAGACGAGCAAAGTTTGAGCGAAGGAATAATATGATCCGGGAGAAATTGTTCACCGTTCAATATTTTAAAAACAAAATAATTAAGAACGGAGAGCATTGGTAGGACCTTCAAATCAATTTTGATACAGCAAATATGGAAGAAATAATTCTTTGGACAGGATAGTATTTCCTAGTTCAAAACTTTTAAGAACAGCAACAAAAGCATTCCATCGTAAAATTTTAAGAACCTATCACATGACTCAATTTACTGTTGAAATCAATTTACTATTGAATTTCATTAAAAGATGTTGAGTAAGTACAAGGGAAAGAATAAGTTCTAAAGGAAAGGAACTTGTCAGAAAAAGCATATATATTTGGATTAGTAGATATATACCTTGATTTGTTAATACTCTTTTACGTTAAAATTGTTTCACAGATAAAGACTCGGGGCCAAAGACGAGGTATCTGGCATGCCCCATATTGACGGGTGTTTCTCCCTTCTTCATCACTCCTTTCCGACCCAAGACAACAGCTGTCAGTTCTTAAAGAACGTGGCAACTCGAGTTATTTGTATGTATATACCCATACCCATACTCTTCCCAGTTCCTACACCTTGTCACAAAGACCTTGAGACAATTTGGAGGAGCAAGTGGACGTTGGAAGATGAAAACACCTAAACTACTCTCCCATCTCCTACTCATGCTTATTTTTTCAGGTATTAATCATCTTCCTTAGATCCTTTACCTTCCTTCCCTTACTGTATCAACTTCAGATAATCTAATCTCTGTATTCCTCTGTCTTTATGCCTCCTCCTCCAGTCTCTCTCTTACTAAGATACAGAAAGCATAGTATAATTCCTTATGATTTGTAGGTTTATATGAGCTTAATAAAGGTTAACTAATAGACAAGAAGAGGTAGAGCAATGACTTGCCAATAAGTATTCTATTGAAGAAGTTGTATTGAATTTTGTTTTTATCATTAAAGATGATAAAGGTGTATCAATTTATGTCGTACGTACTGCACAAGATATGCATTGGTTTATTCGTTTTTCTTTTCTTTTCTTTTCTTTTCTTTCCGTTTCTTATTCTAATAGTGAAGGTTCGTTGATCATTATCCAATTTTCCGAGGGAAGCTGGATTAGCCTCTGATTTTGTAGTGCGAGGCCGCGCTCATGGGGTGAGGATCCCAGAACATTGGTGCCACAAGCTGATCCATTTAAGCAAATGTGAGTCGCAGAAATGCTTTCAAGAGTGCTCTAAAGAACCGTATGGCATTGGAGAATGCAAGGACGCCACTTGCTCCTGCTCATATTATTGTAAAGATCCCCCGCTATAATTCTTTTCTAGTCTCCATGCTTTTGTGCTTCTTACCTGTGTCTTACAATTACTATAATACTGTATCTTATTACCTTATATGGTTTCTGATGAATCATATTAAGGAACACACATATAAGAACATAAAAATAAAAATTGATTTATTGGTATACCATGTTTATACGTTGAGCTATGCATAAAGTTAGAGTTTTGTTTTTCTTATGTCACGTTACAAGATTTTTTTATCCTACATGGGGCCCACATATGTGTCATGGGCTCCACATATTTATTGTGTCACTTCAAACGTAGTCCTAAAATTTATTTGTTCTAACTGCATTAAGTGAATTTAGATACTTCATATCTACGAGGCATGAGTTATTAACAGATGTTTAAAGTGATGTGCACCCTATTTTGTATTACAATTACACGTTTTAGAAACTTAATTATAAAAATTCATAATTAGTTAGGATTTAATTGAAAATTTAGTTAAACTATATGGAATTGAGAAATAACCCATACTAAATCAAAATCCAATAAGATTACTTACTCTCATGTCAGAATTCTCTTAGGGGCTGTTTGGTACAATATTTTTTTTAGGATTTTCAGAAAATTGAAAGTGGTAATTTTATTTACTTACGTTTGGTACAAGATTTTTAAATTTTTTTCTGATAATCTGATTTTTTCGAGATTTTATTTTGTGTGTAATTTTTTTTGAAAATACCATTTAGGGGTCGTATTTCAGGATTTCCATGATAAGGAAAAATTTAATACAACTAAACATAGTATCAAGAAAATTAATTCAATATTTCCGAGAATATTTTAGTCTACCAAACTACTTTTTCATAACATTTTCAGAAAACTCATTTTCTCATCATATTTTTAAAAATCATGATTTTCGGATAAATTTTTTTTTATCGATAACCTAATTCAGAATTAGAGGTTGCTTTGACTCTTCTTTATCCCTTCTAGATCTATTTTTCATCAAAGATTTCAACTGATTATGTTCGTTGAAATATGTGACGTTATATTTCTGTGGTAATATCAATGAAGTTTTCCAATGAAAATCCATAGAAAATGTTGACGTACAAATTTCGTGAAAATTGTGACGCCCATTTTCCGTCAAAAGTCTTGATGCATTAACTCCAAGGAAAATTGAGATGGAGTAGTTCAGTAGAAAAAGGGGCGGAAGATTTCGACAGTAAAAAATGGGTTCACAATTTAACATATACGAATATATCAATACGACACAAATTATTTATAAGTTGATAAAACACACAAAATAAAGGTGAAAATAGTAATTGACCAAAAAAAGGTTAAAATTAAAAATAATAATAATAAATAAAAAGATACAAGTCGGCACGAATTTGACACGTGACACAACACGACACGAATTTTTTACGGGTCATTTTTTTCTAATACGAACACAACATGAATTTTTTTACGAGTCAACTCGAACAAGAATTTTCGTATCGCGGGTCGACCCACGTGTTATAACCCATTTTGACATCTCTACGACCATCCAATTTCGTCGAAGATGCTGATTTGGGAGGAACATCCATCAAAATGCCACTTTTTGGCAAATTTTTTATCCAAATGCTATGTGAATAGTATTTTTTATCATAAAGACACATGACGTAATTCGGTACAACTGGTAGCAAACTTCGTCCGTCAATAATTTTGTGACACGTGACACACTTTTGTATGAAAAACTGACTAGACTAAGTTCGCTACGAGTGGTAGCGAATTTGGTACGCAATATGATCACGTGTCACAAAATCATTGGCCACGAAGTTCGCTACCAGTGATAGCAAATTATGACATATGGCAGTTGGTAAAATGTACTATTCGCGTGACATTTGAATAAAAATTTTGCCAAATAATAACATTTTGGTTAATGTTCTTATTGGGGATCTTTCACATGTTCACAACTCGGTTGAAATTTTGAGCACAGGTACTGAACAGAATCCTATTCTGTACTTGGTTGGATGAAACCTACATAGGTATTGCTACCAAAATCTGGCAATATGCAGTTAGATACTAATCACCATGCATATCATTTTGACACAACTCAACGATATTCACTATATTTGGACAATTTTTTAATATTGTCAAAATCATTAGCTCAATACATACATATACATTAGAGAAATAGTGATCAAAATGTCACAGTTCTCCAACTATTTTTTTTAAATGTCACACCAACAATGTTAATTTCCAATATGTCATGTGGACAAGTTCGCTACTCTAGATAGCGAACTTGGTTGCAATTAATGCATCTGCACGTTTTCACCTATCACACCACTTGGCAGACATGCACGAAGTTCGCTGCCCGCCCTAGCGAACTTCGTTGCATGTCTGCCATGTGTCATCGTGGTAGGTGAAAACGTGAAGGTGCATTAATTGTAACCAAGTTTGCTGCCTAGAGTAGCGAACTTGATGTCCACTAAGAACGTGACACATCAGCAAACTGAGCTCGCTACAGTGTCCAGCAAGCTTGTCCACATGGCATATTGGAAATTAACACTATTGACGTGGCATTTAGGGAAAAAAGTTGAGGAACAGTGCTATTTTGGTCACTGTTCCTACATTAGAAGCCTCGTACGGGCTATTAATAAAGGGTTTTATGTTTGTTATGTTACTTAACGTAACTCCATTTTTCTACACACACATCAAATATGGGGTTTATATATTTTTCTCTCTCTTTCATCATTCCACTTTCTCTCTCACTTTTGTTGTGTGTGTAGAAAAATAAAATTATATTAAACTCATTAATAAATATGGAACATTTTCCATCCAATGCAGAACAATAATAAGAGGGATCACTAACCAATATAGGATTCTAACAATAACAACATAATAATGTTAACCAGTCAATAAATTATCACTCTAATATATCAATACTATTAGAAAATGTAAATAAATGTTAAAGGAACATCCTGATGTTGCTCTAAATACAAATGCATCAAATATTATATCCAACAAAATTTAGTAATGTAAAAAAAAAAAAAGAGAGAGAACTCACCCACATCAAATAAAAATTATCCTTCTGTGATCGTGAAGACGGTCGTCATGATTATCATAAGTATTTTCATCTTTCATTGTCTGGATCATTAGCTGAGTTAGGGGTTTGAGTTGATTTTGTAATGTTACAGCAATTATAAATTGG